AAAAGAAAATGTATAGATGTACTCCTGCTTTTAGGCCCCAATCAGATACATTCTTTGTAGAAAAAAGGGGGTTTATGGCATATTACTGCAATGCACAGTACAACGTTTAATTCTGCATAGCACTCCAACCTGCACATCAAGGCACACGTGTCTCAGCACACAGATTTTACCATCTGTACATTGTGGGGCAATGGATTAAAAAATAAAGGTACAGGTAGGTTATGGTGCATCAACACAATGGGGTGGGGGGGGTTTACTAAAACTGGAGCACTCATTATCGGCTTCTCAAGTTTAGCTTGTTCAGTTAAGCTTTGACAGTATTTATTTATTACAGGTACTTATATAGTGCCGTCAGTGCTTTACAAATACTTCTCAAAAAAATTAAAGGAATACCTTGAAAACCCATCAGATCTCATTGGGGAAGAATCTCCTGCTGGATATCTATACTAGTATGGACGGGGTAATGTGTTAGGAACGTAAGGATGCCCCATCGTTTGATGGAAATGAAAATGATCGACCTACAGAGGACTGAATTCAAAGACATCCTGAAAATCAAAGTGAAAACATGATGCAGCAGGCGAGTCCATTTTGATGAAATGTCATTGCAGCAACTCAGAATGGTCCTCAGTAGCTTGTATGGCCCCCACGTGCTTGTATGCATGCCTGACAATGTTGGGAGAGGGTCCAAATGAGACCAAAGATGTTGTCCTGGGGGATTTCCTTCCAGATCTGGACCAGGGCATCACTGAGCTCCTGGAAAGTCTGAGGTGCAACCTGGTGGCGTCAGATGGACAGAAACATGACATCCCGGAGAAGTTCTATTGGATTTAGGTCAGGAGAGCGTGGGGGCCATTCATTGGTATCAATTCCTTCATCCTCCAGGAACTGCCTGCATACTCTTGCCACATGAAGCCTGGCATTGTCGTGCACCAGGAGGAACCCAGGACCCACTGCACCAGGAGGAACACAGGACCCACTGCACCAGGAGGAACCCAGGACCCACTGCACCAGCGTAGGGTCTGACAATGGGTCCAAGGATTTCATCCCGATACCTAATGGCAGTCAGGGTGCCATTGTCTAGCCTGTAGAGGTCTGTGCGTCCCTCCATGGATATGCCTCCCCAGACCATCACTGACCCACCACCAAAACGGTCATGCTGAACGATGTTACAGGCAGCAGAACGTTCTCCACGGCTTCTTCAGACCCTTTCATATCTGTCACATGTGCTCAGGGTGAACCTGCTCTCATCTGTGAAAAGCACAGGGCACCAGTGGTGGACCTGCCAATTCTGGTGTTCAATGGCAAATGCCAATCGAGCTCTGTGGTGCTGGGCAGTGAGCACAGGGCCCACTAGAGGACGTCGGGCCCTCAGGCCACCTTCATGAAGTCTGTTTTTGATTGTGGTCAGAGACATTCACACCAGTGGCCTGCTGGAGGTCATTCTGTAGGGCTTTGGCAGTGCTCATCCTGTTCCTCCTTGTCCAGCTCTCCTAGAGTAACTGTCTCCTGGAATCTCCTCCATGCTCTTGAGACTGTGCTGGGAGACACAGCAAACCTTCTGGCAATGACATGTATTGATGTGCCATCCTGGAGGAGTTGGACTGCCTGTGCCACCTCTGTAGGGTCCAGGTACGGCCTCATGCTACCAGTAGTGACACTGACCCTAGCCAAATGCAAAACTAGTGAAAAACAGTCAAAAAAGATAGGTAGGAAATAAAATGTCAGTGGCCTCCACCTGTAAAACCATTCCTGTTTTGGGGATCGTCTCATTGTTGCCCATCTAGTGCACCTATTGTTAATTTCATTAACACCAAAGCAGCTGAAACTGATTAACAACCCCCTCTGCTGCTTACCTGAGCAGATCAATATCCCAAGAGGTTCATTGACTTGATGCCATAGTCCAGGGGTAGGCAACCTGCGGCTCTCTAGCTGTTGTGGAACTACATTTCCCATGAGGCATTGCAAAGATTGCAAAACTGACAGTTACAGCTATGACTTGCAGAGGCATGATGGAACTTGTAGTCCTGCGGCTCTCAGGTTGCCTACCCCTGCCATAGTCTGATTAAAAAGTGTTCCTTTCATTTTTTTGAGCAGTGTACATTTATTGTACATTCGCATCAGTCCCTGCCCTCAAGGAGCTTACAATCTAAAATCCCTAAGGCTCCTTTCAAACGCAGTGGATACATCAGCGTGATCCACCTACTTAGCACTGGATCACTCCACTGATCCTCGTTGAGCAGACACATAAAAGGTCTCTGTCCACTCTGCAGCAGAGCAGGCACAGGCACTGCCCGTTGATTGCAATGGGACGGTCAGATGGAATGAGACCGCCTGTCCGTTTCCACCTGATTGTCATCTGATCCGATCTGCTGGACAGAATGGGAACTGATCCCCATCCATCTGTTTTTGGCGTACAGGATTGAGTGCCAGCGGGTGTCAGTGGACTATTGTCCGCTGACACCCGACAGTCCATAGAAGTCTATGGATGGACCGATTGAGCCCGCCTGAAAAAAGGACAGGCGGACTCCACCGATCCCCTCATATGAAAGGGGCTTAACTGACATTCAAACATACACATATTAGGGCCAATTTAGACAGGAACCAATTCACCTACCAGCATATCTTTGGAGTGTGAGAGGAAACTCGCACAGGGAGAACATGCAAACAGCAGGCAGGTGGTTCCATGGTTGGGATTCGAACTGATGACTCTAGAACTGCCAGGCGGAAGTGGTAACCATTTAGCCACTGTGCAGTAAAACCTGGAAGCTGAGTTTTTCTGCAGATCAGCACCAGATATTGCACTCTCCAGTTTTAGTAAATCTCCCCCAACGCATAGTACAAACGTTCAAGGTAAAATATTTCACAATAGGTAAATCTGCCCTTCCTCCATGGCTCATCTACCATTAGAGGTCCTCTCTCTGGTCACCCATTGGGTTTTGTTTCACCATGTTTACTTTTTAACTGAAACTTGGCATGAAGCCTCCTACACAGGTCACACAAGAGGTTCCTGGCAGATTGCACTGTAACTGATGTCACTTTCATGGTTGTCCTCCTCCCTAGGTGTGAAATGTCTGGGATCTGGACAAGGGAGCTCCCTGGGGTGTCTGATAGGAGACAAGGAGAAGAACTGAGAGCAGAGCCCGTCCACACTGGGGGAAAGCAGAGGGTTTCCATTGTAAATGGCATGGTCCTCTCTCATTCGCCCCTATTCTTCTCCTTCCAAGAGAGTCTTCACTCCATATACTGGTCATTAGCATCTATTAGAGCCTTTTGAAGTGGCCAGCAGCTTTGTGTGTCTACGTGGAGCCCTTTCACTGCAGGCACAATGACATCTGTAGAGGGGACCCTGTCTCCTGGTTCCTCACTTTCATCTCCTGGCCAGGCCTTTGGAATGTGAATAAGGAGGATTCTCTTTAATAAAGTTATCAGGAAATGCTTTTCAATGGCTCTCCTCCCTCTCGGGAGCAGGGGGTGCACTAATAAGAGCCACAGGTTACCGGAGAGAATTAGTCAACAAATTCCCACCAGACATCCCTCCCCCCCTCTCTCCATCCCCATTACCAACACACCTCCAACCGCCTTTACAGGGCCCACAACTCAGCTGGAAGATGGAAAGAGGTGATGCCAGGAGGGCTTTATACCAGCCTCTGTTATCTGCATCCAGCTCATACCGAATACCAGGGTGACTATGGAGATAACATGCACAGCTGCCAAGGCTTTCATTCCCAGGGGCCCTTTGCTCCTGGAATGGAGTTATCTGTGAAAATGATGCCGCCCATACATACAGCAAGTTGTTCTTGCAATTGATCCCATCATTCAAATGTCCGAAATGAATGTTCAGCCCAACACTTAGGCTGGGTTCACACTGTCATGGCACATTAACACGTGATGCCGCACGCAGGGGCGGACTGACAACTAATGGGGCCCCTGGGCAATAGGGGTTAATGGGGCCCCTGTGTCCTTGCCCAAACTCAAAAAAGCCTATGAAAAAGGTACCAGGGGCATCTCACGGGGCCCCCTAGCGACCCCGGGCCCTCGGGCAGTGCCCGAGTTTCCAAATGGTCAGTCCGCCCCTGGCCGCACGTTACTGTGCCTTGTGTTACCCTTGGTTCACACCTAAGCGTTTTCTGCAGAATTTTGCAGAAACACACTACAGCCCATTTAACATGATTTCCTATGGGACAGGTTCACATTTTGTGCGTTTTCACCCAGTGCGCTTTTTGCAAAGGGTCAGGGACTTATTTGAACGCAAAAAGTTGCGTTTTTGGTCCTATAGACTTCAATGTAAATTCTGCAGAAAAGCATGAAGTGCGTTTTTGCTGCATTTTTATTTATTTATTTATTACAGGTAGTTATATTTATTTATTTATTACAGGTACTTATATAGCGCCATCAATTTACACAGCACTTTACATATATATTGTACATTCACATCAGTCCCTAACCCTCAAGGGGCGTACAATCTAAGGTCCCTAACTCACATTCATACATACACATCCGGGGAGACCGGATATAGTGATTGCAGGGTCCGGGGAGACCAGATATAGTGAATGCAGGGTCCGGGGAGATCAGATACAGTGAATGCAGGGTCCGGGGAGACCAGATATAGTGAATGCAGGGTCCAGGGAGACCAGATATAGTGAATGCAGGGTCCAGGGAGACCAGATATAGTGAATGCACGGTCCGGGAGACCAGATATAGTGAATGCAGGGTCCAGGGAGACCAGATATAGTGAATGCAGGGTCCGGTGAGATCAGATATAGTGAATGCAGGGTCCAGGGAGACAAGATATAGTGAATACAGGGTCCAGGGAAACCAGATATTTTGAATGCAGGGTCCGGGGAGACCAGATATAGTGAATGCAGGGTCCAGGGAAACCAGATATTTTGAATGCAGTGTCCGGGGAGACCAGATATAGTGAATACAGGGTCCAAGGAGACCATATATAGTGAATGCAGTGTCCCGGGAGACCAGATATAATGAATGCAGGGTCCGGGAAGACCAGATATAGTGAATGCAGGGTCCGGGGAGACCGGATATAGTGAATGCAGGGTCCGGAGAGAGACCAGATATAGTGAATGCAGAGTCCGGGGAGACCGGATATAGTGAATGCAGGATCCGGGGAGACCGGATATAGTGAATGCAAGGTCCGGGGAGAGCAGATATAGTGAATGCAGGGTCCGGGGAGACCAGATATAGTGAATGCAGGGTCCGGGGAGACCAGATATAGTGAATGCAGGGTCCGGGGAGACCAGATATAGTGAATGCAGGGTCCGGGGAGACCGGATATAGTGAATGCAGGGTCCGGAGAGACCGGATATAGTGAATGCAGGGTCCGGGGAGACCGGATATAGTGAATGCAGGGTCCGGAGAGACCAGATATAGTGAATGCAGGGTCCGGGGAGAGTAGATATAGTGAATGCAGGGTCCGGGGAGACCCGATAAAGTGAATGCAGGGTCCGGGGAGACCAGATAGAGTGAATGCAGGGTCCGGGGAGACCGGATATAGTGAATACAGGGTCCTGGGAGAGCGGATATAGTGAATGCAGGGTCCGGGGAGAGCAGATATAGTGAATGCAGGGTCCTGGGAGACCGGATATAGTGAATGCAGGGTCCTGGGAGAGCGGATATAGTGAATGCAGGGTTCGAGAGACCGGATATAGTGAATGCAGGGTCCGGGGAGACCGGATATAGTGAATGCGGGGTCCAGGGAGACCAGATATAGTGAATGCGGGGTCCGGGGAGATCAGATATAGTGAATGCAGGGTCCTGGGAGACCGGATATAGTGAATGCAGGGTCCTGGGAGAGCGGATATAGTGAATGCAGGGTCCGGGGAGAGCAGATATAGTGAATGCAGGGTCCTGGGAGACCGGATATAGTGAATGCAGGGTCCGGGGAGACTGGATATAGTGAATGCAGGGTTCGAGAGACCGGATATAGTGAATGCAGGGTCCGGGGAGACCGGATATAGTGAATGCAGGGTCCGGGGAGAGCAGATATAGTGAATGCAGGGTCTGGGGTTTAGGAACACTTTACTGCATGTATGAACACATGTACAGGTTTGGAAGTACTCTCAGGACCCATTTCACACTGCTGTGCTGAGGTTTGACCTCAGTGTGGGTGCAGTGTAGGGGGTAACTGTTTTCATGCGGGTTACCCATGGTGTCCCATAGACTTTCCCTTATCTCTCGTGTTTTTAATGCGTTTTCTGAAAGTGCACCAAACGTTCGTCAGGCTGCTTTCACACTGTGCAGTTGCAAAAACGTGATAAAAACACATTTGCATTTTTGATGCGTTTTCTAGGTGCCTACTACCCAACATGCACTTGTGAAACTCAAAAAACTGCATTAAAAACATTTGTGCCACGTTTTCTAAATATTTTCGTAGGGGATCTGTGATTTTGGTGCGGTTTTGAAAGCATCATGCAGGACTCTCCAAAACTCACCGCACCCGCAGGACAGTGGTGAAAAGAGTCCCATAGGATTTAAAGGGATTGCATTTTCGTTTGCGTTTTTATCAGGATAAAAATGCAGCAAAAACGCATCAGTGTAAAAACAGCCTTAATGCGCTTTCAGAAAATGTGATAAAAAAATTCCACTTTAAAAAAATTAAAGAGAAAGCGTTGAACAAAATGCGGTAAAAACGCGGCATCAAAAACACGTGTAGAAAAACACAAAATGAACCGCGAAAAGCACTGCAAAAAGGACAAAAAGCAAACTGCATACAGTAGGTGTGAACAGAGCCTAAAACTGTAAAACCAATGACACCACAAAGCTTCTATCTCACTCTGGTTATAGCTTGCCTTGACTACTGCAACTCCTCATCGGCTTACCTCTGCATAGGCCAGGGGTCTCCAAACATTCTACACAAAGGGCCAGTTTACTGTCCTTCAGAGTTTAGGGGGGCCGGTCTGTGGCCATTGGGAGTTGAAATTGTACTGGTGTCAGTGGGAATAAACAATGCATCTTTGGTGTCAGTGGGAGGAATAGTGCTCTGTTGTTGGTGTCCGTGAGAGAAATAGGGCCCCATCATTGGTGTCAGTGGGAGGATAGTGCCCCATTGTCAGTGTCAGTGGGAGGAATTATGCCTCATTGTTGGTGTCAGTGGGAGGTATAGTGCCCCATCATTGGTGTCAGGTTGAGTGCCTCATCATAGGTGTCAGTGGGAAGAATTTTGCCCCATCATTGGTGTCAGTGGGTGGAATTTTGCCCCATTATTGGTATCAGTGGGAGGAATTTTGCCTCATTAACGGTGTCAGTGGGAGGAACAGTGCCCCATCATTGGTGTCAGTTTGAGTGCCTCATCATTGGTATCGGTGGGAGGAATAGTGCCCTGTTGTTGGTGTCCGTGAGAGAAATAGGGCCCCATCATTGGTATCAGTGGGAGGAACTTTGCCCCATTGCCGGTGTCTGTGGGAGGAATAGGGCCCCATTGTTGGTGTCAGTAGCAGGAATTATGCCCCATTGTTGGTGTCAGTGGAAGAAATAGTGTCTTGTATCAGTGAGAGGAAAAGTGCCTCAAGGGCCAGATAAAGGCAGGCAAAGGGCCGCATCCGGCCCCGGAGCCACACTTTGGAGCTCACTGGCATAGGCTATCCCCCCTCCAGTCCATCATGAACACTGCTGCCAGACTCATCCACCTTACCAACCATTCAGTGTCTGCTACCCCTCTCTGCCTCTCTGCCAATCCCTCCACTGACTTCCACTCAGCCAACAAATAAAATTCAAGATACTTACAACAACTTACAAAGCCATCCACAACTCTGCCCCCAGCTACATCACCAACCTTGTCTCAAAATACCAACCAAATCATTCTCTCCATTCCCCGCCAAGACCTCCTGCTCTCTACCTCCCTTGTCACCTCCACCTATGCTCGGCCTCCAGGACTTCTCCAGAGCTGCTCCCATCCTCTGGCACTTTCCTCCTCCCCAAAGTGTCCAGCTATCTCCATCTCTGTCCACTTTTAGATGATCTCAGCCCATTTAATATGATTTCCTATGATTTCACCTGGTGCTGTTTTTTGGAAAGGATCAGGGACTTTTTTGAACACAAAAAGTTGTGTTTTTGGTTCTATAGAATTCACGCTGCGCAAAAGCATGTTGTGCATTTTTGCTGCATGTTTGCCGCATATGTGATGCTTTTTTAAATCTGCCTAACAACAAGAAAAACTTTAAAATTTTAAAAACCGTGAAACGCATCAAAAACGCGGCAAAAATGCAACGCAAAAAAACACAACGCAGAAACGGCTCGAACACAAGCTGCATAGGTGTGAACCTACATTTACACCCCGGTCACATCAAGCCCGACTTTGAAATCGTGCAACTTACAGTGAAATCAAACTATTTCAAAGTCAGGGGACATGATGATTTCAGGTGCGATTTGACAGATGTCTATGCAAATCTCGCCAAAAGTAGTGCATTTACTACTATAGAAATCGGTGCGGCTCCGACCAAGTCTGAATTGCACTGATTGCACTTAAAGCGGAGCTCCACTCACTCTGTAAAAAAATAAAAGTCAGCAGCTACAAAAACTGTAGCTGCTGACTTTTAAAAAACAGCCACTTACCTGTCCCTCGGTCCAGCGTTGCCCCCGCCGTAGCCTGTTTCACCGGCCGTCCTATATTCCAGGAGGACGGTATCTTCAGTGTGTGCACCCAGCTGTGATAGCTTGCGGCGTCACAGCCGGGTGCCCACTGCGCATGCGTGAGTAGCGCTGCGCTTCCTGAATGGCCCCGTCGTCTTCTGGGACCTGTCATGTGTCCCAAAAGACTACAGAGAGGGAGGACAACTTCTGCTTCTGATCACCTAGGTGGTCGCAGCAGAAGTAGGAGCGGGTACCTGTCAAAATCAGGTACCGTCTTCCTAATGGTGCCAATTCCTCGTGGGGATCGGGGGACCAGTACCTTTTGGGTGGAGCCCTGCTTTAAGAACCTTATCCTCGCACTGTTCATGTAACAACCTGTCCCAGAAGTTGTGGCCCTGATTTACGTGATATATGATAAATATGTCTCTGAAGAATAAAAAGGGGGAAGGAAAAGAAAAGGTAAATGAAAACACAAAAGGAAACAAAATAAAATAGGGGAAGGAGGAGGAAGGGAGGGGAGAGAAGGGGAGAGAAAAGTTGAATACAGAGGGAGGGTAGGAGGATAACTTCCATTTCCGATCGCAATGGAAGTGGGAGCGGGTACCTGTCAAATTTGGGCACCCCCTCTCCCCCGCTCCCCAACGGTGCCAATCGGGGAACGGGGGACCAATCTTTAAAGTGGAACTTCCCCTTTTGGGTGGAACTCCGCTTTAAGGAAATTCCTGAAAAGTGCAACATGAGCTTTCTTTGAGTGTTTTTTTTCCAAGCATTTTGTTGTGCGTTTTCTGTTCAAACTGCATCTCTCTGCCCTTTTTCAGCAGCACTCCACACCTTTTAGTTGAATAAAAATGCTTGAAAAAAGCTGCAGAAACATTCAATTCTGCAAAAAAAAGCTCAAAAATGCTTTAAAACATAACGTGTAAATGTAGCCTTATCATTAACAGTAAGACCAAAAAAAATCTTTCAGAAGTGATTGTTGAACTTTACAGCACAAGATTGGCTGGAGAAACAGGAATTTTGCAACTCATCCAATCACTTTCATCTTCACAATGAACACCTAGCCAAAGTGATCCAAATGGTAGTGAAAACTGATCCATAGGGGCTCTTCACACCTAATGCATTGCTTTGAGTTGAACAACGCAGGTTCAGTGCGAAGACACAGGAAATACCATTCCTGTCTATGGGGTGGATTTACTAAAGGCAAATGCTGTCTATGTGGTCGATTTACTAAAGGCAAATGCTGTCTATGGGGTTGATTTACTAAAGGCAAATGCTGTCTATGGGGTGGATTTACTAAAGGCAAATGCTGTCTATGGGGTCGATTTACTAAAGGCAAATGCTGCCTATGTGGTCGATTTACTAAAGGCAAATGCTGTCTATGTGGTCCATTTACTAAAGGCAAATGCTGCCTATGTGGTCGATTTACTAAAGGCAAATGCTGCCTATGTGGTCGATTTACTAAAGGCAAATGCTGTCTTTGGGGTCGATTTACTAAAGACAAATGCTGTCTAAGGGGTGAATTTACTAAAGGCAAATGCTGTCTTTGGGGTCCATTTACTAAAGGCAAATGCTGTCTATGGGGTCGATTTACTAAAGGCAAA